TTTCATTTGTGATTTTATTTATTTATTTGGATCCATTCTCCTTTCTTTTTGATAAATCTGGCTAGGGATTTATCAATTTCATTAATTCTTTCAAAGAGCCAGCTCTTAGTTTCATTGATCGTTCTACTGGTTTTTGTTTGTTAGTTTGTTTCTACATTGTTTATTTCTGCTCTAACCTTTAATATTTCCCTTCTGCTGGCTTTAGGCTTTTTTTTTTTTTTTTTTCCCATTCCTTTCTGTCTCCTTTAGGTGTAAGGTTAGGTTGTGTATTTGAGACATTTCTTGCTTTTGAGGTAAGCTTGTTTTGCAATATATTTTTTCTCTTAGCACTGCCTTTGCTGCATCCCAAAGGTTTTGAACTGTCATGTTTTCATTTTCATTTTCCTCCGTGTATTTTTTTTATGTCTACTTTAATTTCCTGGTTAACTGACTCATTCTTTAGTAAGATGTTCTTCAACTTCCATGTATTTGTGGTATTTCCAAGTTTTTCTTGTGGTTGACTTCAAGTTTCATAGTATTGTGGTCTGAAGATATGCATTTGATGATCTTGATCTTTTTGTACTTGAAGCCTGATTTGTGACCTGATATGTGACCTATTCTTGGGAATGTTCCATGTGCACACAAGAAGAATGTGTATTCTGCTGCTTTAGTGTTCTGAATATATCTGTTAAATCCATCTGGTTCAGAGTGCCATTCAAAGCCATTGTTCCTTATTGATTTTCTGCTTAAATGATCTGTCCATTGCTCTAAGTGTGGGTGTTGAAGCCCCCCCACTATTATTGTATTATTATCAATGAATTTCTTTATTTTTGTTATTTATTCATTTTATATATTTTGGTGTTCAAGTTGGGGGCATAAATATTTACAATTATTATGTATTCTTGTTGGATTCTCCCCTTTATTATGGTAGAGTGCTCTTCTTCATCTCTTGTTACAATCTTTGTCTTAATGTCTAATTCATCCCATATAATTATTGATAGATATGAATGTAGTGCCATTGTATAACCTGTAAAGTCATTGTTTCTGGAGGTTTTCTCTGTTCCTTTCTAGTCTTTGTAGTTTTTGTTCTTTCCTTCCCACTTAAAGAGTTCCCTTTAGTATTTCTTACAGGACTGGGTTAGTGGTCATGAACTCCTTTAGTTTTTGTCTAGAAAACTCTTTATATCTCCATCTATTCTGAATGACAGCCTTGCTGGATAAAATATTCTTGCTGCATATTTTTCCTATTCAATATGTTGAATATATCATGCCACTCCCTTCTGGCCTGCAAGGTTTCTGTGAAGAGATCTGTTGCTAACCTGATCCGGCCTCCCTGGTAGGTTTGGGATTTCTTTTCCCTTGTTGCTCTCAGGATTCTTTCTTTATCTATTTTGCAAATTTTACTATGATATGTCTTGGTGTTGGTCAGCTTTTGTTGATTTTGATGGGAGTTCTCTGGGCCTCCTGGATTTGAATGTCTATTTCTTTCCTCAGATTAAGGAAGTTTTCAGCCATAATTTGCTCAAATAAACCTTCTGCCCCCTTTTCCCTCTTCTTTTTATGGGACTCTCGTGGGGAGAATGTTATTATGCTTTATGGAGTTGCTGAGTTCTCTAAGTCTACATTTATGATCTAACTTTTTTCTCCCTCTTCTCTTCAGCATTTCATGGAAATCACTTATTTGTTCCTATGTCACTTATTCATTCCTCTACTTCTTCTGTCCTTGTCATTACCTCCAGTCAGTTTTGCATCTTGGTTATAGCATTTTTTTTCTTTTTGCCCGACTAGTTTTTAGGTCTTTTATCTCTGCACTAAGGGTCTTTCTGGTTTCTTTTATGCTTTTCTCAAGCCCAGCTAGTATCCTTACGATTGTTGTTTAGATTCTTCTTCAGGCATATTACTTATTATATATATTTTGATTAGATATAATCCCTGGCTGTGACCTCTTCTTGTTCCTTCTTTTGGGATGAATTCTTCTGTATTGGCATTTGCTCTAGGTCTCCATCTTTTGTGTGTTACAAAAGACTATTCCTGGTCCTATTTCCACTAAAGCTGAAGATTTGCAGCACTGTATGATCAAGAGAGCTGATGTTCACACAGAGGGGGAAGATGAGGGGTGGGGGTAGTCTTTGGGGTGAGGGGACTGCTCTTTGCTCCTGCCTTGGCTGATTAAAAAAGGCACCTGGATTTGGCTCAGGTCATGATTTCATGGTTGGTGAATTCAAGCCCTGAGTCCAGTTTCACGTTGACAGTGTAGAGCTTGCTTGGGACTTCTCCCTCTGCCTCTCTCTGTCCTTCCCTTGCTTGCTTTATCTGTCTCTCTATAAAAATAAATAAATAAACAAAAATAAAGGCGATACAGAGCAAAGAAGGACGGAGCTTGGTTTAAGAGGCTTAAGCCTCTGCTGGGTGCTCTGGGCTGCATGATGAAGTCTGTCTGTGATGATGGGAGGGGTGAAATATGGCATCAGCCCAGTCTCTTCCCCAGAGAGCAGAGTTTGTGCCCATTGCTCCTCAGGAATACTTCACGGAAAAGTGAACAATCTTCCTTCTTGAGTCCAAGGCTTCTGTTCAAACCCTGTCTTCATCCTGTCTGTGTCTGTGCTGTCTGCCTCCCTGGCAGTACAGTGCTCTTGTTATCGCAGGTGCATGGCTGGATTTCAAAACTCCAAATTTTAGGGATCCAGTGCAGCATGGGCCTGCACTGATCCTTTAGGGGATGGTCTCGCCATGCTTTGGCTGGTCCCAGTTTGTCCCACGACTGTGCAGGGGCTTGGATTTTATGGTAAAGTATAAAACTGGCATCCAGGTTAGCTGTCATCAGCAGGAGTCTCTGCTTGTATGATAATGAATGGAGCAACTCAATGCTACCCACCAGCTCTTTGTCCTCTGAGAGGCAGTACCACTTCTCCCAAGTGCACTTCAGGGAGGGGAACTGTCTATTCCAGTGTCACCCTGGGGATCCTCAGAGCACGCTGTCCACTCCCAGGCCTCTGCTCTCCTTCTCCACAGGAACACCACGACACCTGTCAGGCTTGACCTTACCAATGGTGCAGATTTCTAAAAGTTTAGACTTTCAGGTCTGCTGCTTGTAAAAAACTTGTGATAATCAGCTTCTCTCATTTTCCTAGTCAGTGGTTTTGATAAAGGTTTTTTTCCCCGTGCAGTCCTGTGTGTTGCTTTCTTTCTCTTTCTCGTCTCTGTGATCAGGGCTCCTTCCCTGCTGCAGCACCTGCAATTGTCTCTTCCAGATCATATCACTGCAACTCCTACCTTCCATGATGTGGCCTCCTCTCTCTGGTTGTGCAGTTTGTTTTCTCAGTCCTCAGATCAATTTCCTGCATGTTCAGAATGACTTGAGAATTAAGTAGTTGTGTTTGAGGGAGGAGGCAAGCATACAGACCTCCTAATGCTCTGCCATCTTAAATCCTCCACTGAAGTGAGCATATTTTGGCATTATACACTTATTTTATTTCACTTGTTTATTGTTTGTCTCCTCCATCACGCCAGTGAGGCTCAACTTTGGCTGCATTTTAGAATCATCTGGAGCTTTTAAAAAATATTGATATGTGGACTCCACTCTGAACCACTGAATTGCTGTGGAGAGAGCCCAGACCTCTAATTTCAGGAAATTCTGATGTACACTGTGAATTGAATATCACTGCACTAGACTGTAAGCCTCTGGAGGACACACACCATCATTTTTTGTTCACTGCTGATTATACCCAGTACTCAGCACAGCACCTGGCTCATAGTACTAAAATAGTTATTGAGGTTTTTGAATAAATGATACTAAGGTGTTTTAACTTCTGTCTTCTTGCAGTTCTCAATACTTCCTCAGTAGAGAGGTTGTTTCTTTCTGCCTTAGCTCATGATAATTCTTTCCTTTATCTGGAATTCTTATTTCTTCTATCTCTTGGTTTATGTAAATTCACTTTTTTAAGACTTGGCTGAAATAGCATCTTCTCCAGGAAATCCTGCTAGTACCCTAGTGGGACAAGTGTCCTTACTCTGTGTCCTATAACACTTTGTGCTTACATCTACCAAAGCACTTAATAAATGATTTTGGAATGATATAAGTACTTCTCACTCTCACTTGTGTGTGAACGTCTCACGGTTTTGGATCATTTCTCATTTCTTTAGCCTGCTCATATTTCTCTACTTTTTATTTTGATTATTGACTTCACCACTGATTTAGTCTCTCAGGATGTAAAATCCAAAGTCAGCGTTCCTTCTTGCCTCCCTTAAGTTAGAAACCAGGGATGTGCAAAAATGTTCATTGTAGAGTTATTTATAATAGCAAGCATTTGAAAACTGATTATAACATATTCAGAGAGTGTAATATTGCACTGTTTTTAAAAATGAGGTTGTAGAAGATTACTGAATAGTAAATAAAATGTTCATATGATATAGAATTACATGACAAAACACAAATGCAGTATGATGTCACTTTTATAAAAGAATCTTTATATATTCATCAAACAGTATAAAAAGATAGGTTGGAATATATGAATAGTGGTTATTTCTGGGTGGTGGAATTTTTATCTTTATGCTTTTATGTGTTTTCCATTTTAAAAATAATGAGCATATATTACTTTTGTAATCACAAAAATCACAGTAAAATTGAAAATAATGTGGCATTAATTATCCACTAATAGGATGTAACTGATAGCTTGCTGAAGACATAAAAAGGGCAGAACCACTTTTCACTTCTATAGCTTTTTTCTCCACTTTAAATACTTGGCATTAAAGGGATATGATGATTGATGATTTACATTTATACAAAGCAACTTTTCAGACTACCCACACTTATACCCTATAAGTAATGAAATCCATATTGTCTTGTTCCATTTTTAACTCTGAGAGAACATTATTCTTTTACAAAACTGTATATCATAATTATTTCTATACTATGGAATTCACGCTGGAAATTCTATTTAAACTAAGTTCTTGACCTATGTCTGAATTCCTTAAATGTACTTATTTACTATTTGTGCATTTGAAAGATAGCAGGCACTCACCTTTTTGCAGACAAAGTCACCAGGTAAATAAACAGTGGATTTCAATCTTAGCAACATGTCATAAATCATTTGTGTATCACAACCCTAAAGAAAAAAATAACAAGAAAAATAATTCTTACAGACACAGTCACAAAGACAACATTCCAAATAATTTTAAAATGACATGAAAATAAACAGTAATAAAGATTGTCTGTATTAATAAAGATTCTGAATCCTGTCTCCACTACCTATTGCTATAGAACCTCTAATGCCCTTAGTTTCCTAATTTGTTAAGTGGGTACCTATTTCATAATGATAAAATTTTAGTCATGTAAAACTTAACATAATGATTAATTAATGATAGCTATTAATTATTATGATAATATAAGTGATAATAATTGGTTATTAGTGTTAAGGTTGACAGATAAATATAAAAATCTGAATATTTTTCTTTTTTATAACATCTTTCATACTATTGTCAAATATTATTATTTAACTGTTGAGGCTTCTATGTCTTTCTTTACAAATTTATTTGTCTTCTTGAAGGCAGAGTATCTGTACATAATAGATACAAAAGCAGTAATTGTTGAGTGAATGATGTTCATATCCACTTTAATAGTGTAAGAGACAAATTTGATTTGTTAGGATATGTGTCTATATTTGTGGTATGCCCAGAGAATTATAATTTATTGGGGCACCTGGGTGGCTCAGTTGGTTTAAGCATCTGACTCTTGATATCAGCTCAGGTCATTATCGCACAGTTTGTGAGACTGAGCCTGCAACAGGCTCTGGACTGACAGCATGGAGCCTACTTGGGATTCTCTCTCTCTCTCCCCCACTTGTGCTCTTTTTCAAAATAAATAAACAGTTAAAAAAGAATTATAATTTATCTGTATGATAAGCCAAAGAAAAATAGATGGCTGCTTCAAAAATGTTTTTACATAGTGATTCTGAATCTTTTGCTTTCACCAAATATTGTTATTTATTTTTCTCTCAGAGCTGTTTTCATTTTGTGATTGGTACTGCCCATTCTTTAGGGAAATTATTATTTTGCAGAAAACTAATCATAGTCAGTAGCAGAGGATGGAGGAGGAGATGCAAAGGGCGTGCTCCCAATATGTGGACTGGATAATCATTCTTTTAGCAATCACCAGTTTTCTGTAATGACTTCAGTAGCAAACACTTGACCTAGATCCATGTGAAATTTAAACTTTGGGTTTGTTGAATGATAAGGAAAGTGAATAATTTATGATTGAAGTATCTTCACGTAGCCATTGGTGAGGAGCATTCAAATGAACTTGAAGTTAGAATTTTAAACATTTATGTGAGAAAGTATAGCTTTTGGTTATCCAAGATCGAAAAAAAGGCCAAGGCTGACAGGAATACCTTCTTAACACAGCCCAACAAAAATTGATGAAATCTGCTAGGAGCAAGCCTTTGTACATGCCCTTGGAGCTATGAAAGATGAAAGAGAGTAAGCTAGTTGGGATGATGTTTTAAGTAAACAGCAAAGCTGTTATTGATGGTAGATGTGAATCATGTTATAAGACAGTCCAGTTAAGTATCTATAAAACTATTAAGGGGGGGGCAATTACAACTTCCTGGGAGTGGGGATGAGAGGGAGGGAAACATCAAGAAATTGCTCATATGGATAGCACAATTTGAGTCAGTTGAAGATGAGTATGATTTGTATTCCCATAAACACAGAAAATTCTTTTAGGTAAAGGAAAAATTGCCTTTTCTTACCCTGCTATGTATTTTTGTGTGTGCAAGGTATATAATTTTTATTTATATTTGTTTTATTCCTACTATGTCTCATAGGTTATCATATTTGCTAAAGCAAATGACAAAAATTAATGTTTTTAATATTGTGGTTATTTTGTTTTTAGTAAAAAGTATCTAAATATATGGTTCATATACCTGATTTCTTTTACAGCTGTCATTGGTTCAGAATAATTTCATTTTGAAAATTGGTGTTCTGATCACTCAGGACTCTTAAAAAAGACAACAAACAAACTTTGGATTCATCTTAGGATCTCTCCCACTAAAGAAAGTTCATGTTCTTGATGTAAAATAAATAAATCAGATTTCTGTATATATAGATATGATTGAACTTGACAAAAAAATCCGAGCTGCACACAAAAGCAAAGTATAAGATATATTCAATTTGACTTCAGTTATGAAAAAGCTACACAAAATAGACCTTGATGTTTATATAGATATAAAGTAAAATTGTAAAAATGATGATTAGAAAAAGAATGAGGATTGGATGGATACCCTAGAAATTATCCTAATGGCCACCTCTGGGAGAGGAGGAGAATGGAATTGAGGAGAAGAATTGATGATATGTCAGCTTGACTTTTATTATTTTTAATAAAAATAAAGTAAAACACACATCCTGAGATCGTATGTAGTAACAGAGTGTCCTTTGAGGAGGAACACATTTCATCTTTTCTCTTCTATCCTTCAGGTTAGCTTATAGGCAGAAAGCACTAATAAAGGAAACCCAATTCAATTCATGAAAGTGTTAGACCAAACTGGGAGATAAGCTCTAAAATAGATAAGCAAACAATTATTGCTTTCCTCAGTCGAAATGTGCAAGTGCTTACACGAATAACTTTCAGCTGATAGTTTGGATTTCCTCAAAGGAAAACTGTTATAACTCTGAACTGTTATAAATATGAATTCTTATTAACACATTTGCATAGAATATGTATCAATTTATGTAAACAGAACATAGAAGCTGTATGTAATAAAAACTTAGTTTACGTTTTATCAATGAAGTGATTCTGTCTCCTAACTGCTTCATGGACAGGTGCCACTGGCCTTGGGGCCACTATGATCTAGACTAGGTCCTTCTCATTAGTACACAGACTTAGGAAATGAAATTTGCATTACGAAGTTGTTATAGTTTATTTGTCTGAGAACAATTATCCCCACCCCATGAAAATGATTATTTTCTTGAGATACACTTTGCTCCACTATTGTGTGGTTAAAAAAAGTTACATCCCAGGGCTACTGTTTTCTTTCTTTGTAATGGCAGCTCCATTTCTTTTATAGAAGCCATTAGGAAATTTTCTGATTTACAGAAAGTGAGCGCACAGTTATTGTTTCATAAATGTCCTTTTTTTTCTATAAAGTGAGAGTACCTGTATAAGTATCAGCATTAACATTATATTAATAACATTTGTATTAAATTTTACTATTTTCTTATCTTTACCTGTTTTATTCTTCAAATCTTCCTGTGATGCCTGGCATTAATTAACTTATTGATGAGGGAATGGAGGCTCAGAAAGTCTTTTGACTATTTCCCTAAGGTCACATATGCAATAGATGTCAGAGAAAGAGAATCATCAGACTGTGTGTGTGTTGTTGTTGTCTTTTAAATCTGCCTCCTGACAACTGAGGGCCAGATTTGTGTATTACTCACTTTTGTAACCCCCATGTCTCACTAGTATTTGAGGCATGCTAAACACTAAATAAACACAGGCTGATGTATAAAATGAAGTTGTTAGAAATTATTCCATTTGCAAAAATGGGAAATTCAGTGCTATATAAATGTGTATCACAGATTTGAATAAAGATTCTGGAGATTTGGATAGAGTTGGGAGAAATCCTATTTTTATTTTATTCAAAACATAACATATAGATGGTGGTTTCTATAGCCAGAAAGTTCTTTCAATAATGGCAAATTCTGAATACAACTGAAAAGCTGTTAACACTTATTTTTGGAATGAGTACCTTCTCAGTCCTGTAGGATTTCTCCAGTTCCAGGCTTATTCCTGCTTCAGTCCTTTCAAACAGAACTTAAGATATTATCAGTAATTTATAACTCACTGTGACCTTAGGTCACCCTTAAGTATAAACAATAGTCTTCAGGGGTTTTCTCAACTCAGCCTTATTTATTATAAAAGGAAATGCTTTGTCCCATCTTAAATTCCATTCCTTATTAAGTAAGTGATGGGTGATATGTGTAGAGCAGGGAGTTCTGAATCCAGTTGCCCATGCTATTGACTATACGAGTCATGTACTGATTGGCAGCTGTTGGAAGCAGCAAAGTCAAATGTGATAAATAATTTGCAAGTTACTATCTTAAAACTGTTTGAGTTCTAAGTCATGTTGGGCCCAATCCTATGCTCAATATTTGCAAATACTTGTAAAAGTCATGTCCGTCAAGCATTCCTTAAGAACTGACAATAATTATATTTTTTCTAGGAGCTTAAGTATCACATAGTCAAAGTGGGAAAGTCACAAGTTGAGTGAAACCCTGTGGATAAATCTAATCCATCTTTCTATGTGCAAGCAGGGCCACATGAAGAAGATGATTTTACTAGTGTAGAAACTCACGTGTGATTGAATCAGTTTTGTTTTTCAGTTAGTAATATGGTAAAAATAACAATCAAATTTATTATGTAGCAGGAACTGATATATGCGTTTCATATGTTTTGAGTCACTTCACCATTGCACAACCAAGGACATTATTATTTAGAGTTTCCCCACCTTATTGGCGGTCACTGGAGAGCAAGGACTATATGTGTGCCATATCTGGAGTGCTCCACTAATGCTTTAGACAGAGTAACTGTTCAGAGTGTATAGCTGAATGGAATTTATCTGGGCCATAATCTCATTGTTGAAAATACTTTAAAAAGTCAGGTAACAATACCTTATTACTGATACCACCAGCGTAAAAATACAGCTAATAAAAATGAAATGTAGTAAGTCTCACTGTAATGCTCTGATTTGAAACCCTTCAGGGAAAAATATGTGATGGCCTAACTGCTTAGTTACTACTGGGGGAAGGGGATCCGTGTGTGATTGGTAGAAATAATTATGTCATTTCCATTCAATTCCTGACTCAGTTGTCACTCTCATAGAAATCTCTTCCCCTGCATCTTTCCTATCCCTGAAGTCAAAGCCTTTCCAGGCTTCAACTGCCTCATAATCACAATGAGTCACGGGATCAGTTCTGCAGTTTTACTTTAGCAGCAAATAGTGAGGAGCGTTGTGCTTTCCTTGACAGACTGGTGGTGCCTACATTCTCATTTTTGTATCTCTGGATCCCTATTTCCTACTGTAAAGTTCCTTTCTAAGAGATGAGATTTAAA